TTAGATAGAGTTATTACCTTAGCACCAGGTCTGGATCTACGAAGTTCAGATTCCTCCAGGTGGGTGTTGCTTGGATCTGGCTTCTGTGCTCCACTTCTTTCTGCTGTAGCCGTTAGAGTTGAACCCTTTGTGTCTCTCTGGGAAGATGTTCTGCTCCTGAATCAGCTGGGTGGGTCTTGCCTCTAGCCTCTTTGCAGGGAGTTCTGCTGAAGGGTTCGGGTTCCCTGCTGGGCCTGCAGCCTGGGTCGAATGAGGATCTACGGGCCCGGGTCATCTCACTCACTCGCCCAGCCTGCACTCTGGGTCTGTTCAGGATTCCGCGGCCTGGGTCGTCTCACTCACTCGCTGGGCCTGTGCTCTGGGTCTATTCAGGATCCTGCGGCCTGGGTCGTCTAATTCACTCGCCGGGCTTGCGCTCTGGTTCTGTTCAGGATCCCGCCAGGCCCTGGGTCGTCTCACTCACCGGCCTGCCTCTTGTATTTTTGAGACTGGGTCTCATTATGTACTTTAGTCTGGGCTTGAACTCACAGCAGTCCTCCTGCTTTAGTACTGGGAGGACACATATGTCCTCTTGAGCACTAGGATTGAAGGCATGCACCACTAAGCAGCAGCCTGGTGTTAAATCAAAACATTTATACTTACAAAACCCCAGTAGACCTGTAGTATAGCTTAGCAATAGAGTGCTTGTGTAGCACACAGAAAGTTCTGAGTTGTATGCTCACCATGGCAAAAAAAAAAAAAAATAGTTTCATACACAGTGAAATTTTGTGCTAATTTGTAGAGGACCTGAGTGCTCTGCCACATTTTTGGTAGTGTTAGATCCATCTCTGTCCCAGTGGTTGCTAGTTGAGAGTTTTCTGAAGATAGAGACTGTCTTAACTTACCTTTCTAGATTTTGAACATAATAAATAGAAAAGGCACATAGTAGACATTTGTTAAATAAAAGGCATTGTAAATAGGGCTGGCATGATAGCCCATTGGACTAAGTGCCTGCTTAGGCAAGCGCAGGGATCAGAGATTGATCCCCAGCTGCACAGGCCATGGTAGCCCTGCCCCTAGGTGCACAGAGCAGGCAACTGAGACTTGGCGTGGTGGCGTGTGCCTGTGATCCCAGCACTGGGGAGGCTGAAAACAGGAGGATCATTGTGAGTCCAAGCTGCATAGTAAGACCCTGTACCAAATAAGTATATTTTAAAAAACAAAAGGGTAAATAACTGAAGGGAATATAGTTTCGTATTGGATCTTGAAGGAAGGCTAGAGTTTAAGCTCTTGTAGACAAGAGTCCTGCACATAAACTATTAGATTTAGTATTCAGTTTCTGAGAAGAAATTGAAAGTAACCTTGAGATGGGGTGTGGTGGTACACACCTGTAATTCTAGCACTCAAGAGGCTGAGGCAAGAGGATTGCTACAAGTTAGAGGCAACTGAGTGAGTTCAGCCAGACTGTGTTTTGGAATTTGTTACCAGTCAGCTGAAGGGTTTTGCTGTTGACTTAAGGAGTTATGAAAGGCTAGTTAGGCAGGCACATTGTTGTACAACTGTAATGCCAGCACTCTGAAAACTGAGGCAGGAAAATGACCAAGAGTTTAAGGCCAGCCTGAACTACATAGCAAGACTGTCTCAGAGAGAGAGGCTTAAGCATAGAAATGTGGTTATTGATGTAAGATAAAATAGAAAATGAGTTGTCAGAATGTGATTATTCATGAAGTGTGGAGTTCTGAGATGAGGTACTGGTGCCATATCTAGGTGGAAATGTTGAATTAGGTTCCTGGAAAAGTGTTGCTGAATTTCAGAAGTGAGTCCAGGGATTAAATTAGAAATCATGTGGGCCTGCCCCTTAGCTCAGTTCTTTAAGTGGCTGCTTCAACAAAGTAGTCAGGCTCAGGTTGCTGTGGTTCGATCCCCACAACTCAAGCCAGCCAATCATGCCCTGAAGGCATTTGAAGGAAAAAAAACCCTTCTGCCTTTTTATTTATTTATTTATTTATTTTAGTGTGTGTGTGTGTGTGTGTGTGTGTGTGTGTGTGGCCAGCTCAGCCCACCAGGGGGTGGGGCTGGCTGGCATGTGGTGCTGGGGGATTGAACTGTGGTCCCTGTGCTTTGCTAAGCTTGTTCTAAGGTGCTTTAGACCACTGAGCCATCTCACCAGCCCCCCTTCTGCCTTAAAAAAAAAAAAAAATAGAAATCATTTACATTGAAAGGATGTTGAGGAGCTGGAGAGATGGCTCAGTGGTCTAAAGCACCTACTTGAAACAAGCTTGGCAAAGTACAGGGACCGCGGTTCGATCCCCCAGCACCACATGCTAGCCAGCCCCGCCCCCTGGTGGGCTGAGCTGGACACACATACACTCACACACACACACACTCAATAAAAATGTAATAAATAAATAATTAAAAAAAAAAAAAAAAAAGGATGTTGAAGACCGGGGATTAACTGAAATTTGTCAAAAGGATAGATAGAGACAAAGCAAGGACACATCTTTAGGGAGATTGCTGCATTTAGAAGGATAGAAGAAGAGCTGGAGAAGGAAGGAGCATTGGTCAGAAATTGTTACCTTGTGGGACAGTGAGGAAAGCTGGCAAGCATGAAGTCCTGAGTTGGATCCTCAGAACCAAAATAAAAAAGAACAGTTTGCTAGACCAAGAGATTGAAGAAATCTTTAATTTTTTAACTTGAATTTGAGAGAATATTGATTGTAATCAGCTGTCCTCTATTTGAAGTTTTCAAAGGAAGTGTTTTTAGACATATGTATATAAGTATCAAATAACTGATTAGCTACATTCTGAATCAGCATTAACTATTCTTCACCCTCTGCCTTCAATATTTTTTAGTGTACTTTCCTAACATTTTGCATTAAGAAGTTCACTCAGGGTAAAAAATACCTATAACAATACTGTTGATTTTTTTCCTAACTGTTTTTATCCTTTTCCCTAGGATCTGACTGGCATAGAATCTATGGATCAATGCCGCCATACCTTGGAACAGCATAACTGGAACATAGAGGTACAGCATAGTAGGATTCATTCTAAGCTCATTTCTTTTCTCTGGTCTTATATCCAAAAATATATTTTTCCACAGCATGAATCTTTTCCCTATAGTATATTTCTTTTCTTCAGAATTAGGGCTCTTGGGGCCGGGGAGATGGCTCAGTGGAATAAAGCGCTTCCCTGGCAAGCGCAAGGCCCGAGTTCAATCCCCGGTTCTGCCAAAAAAAAAAAAAGAATTAGGGCTCTTTAGTCATCTTTACTGATGTGAAAAAATACAGAAAATGTGATTAAAAATGTATGAAATCATAAAATAAATGCTGACCCCTAACTGGCCATGGTGACACATGCCTGTAATCCTAGCACCCAGAAGACTGAGGCAGGAGAATCACCCAAAGTTTGAGGCCAGCCTGTACTACATAACAAGTTTAAGGGCAGTCTGAACTGCCTAGTGAGACCCTGTCTCAAAAAAAGTGAGGCATGGTGGTCCATACCTATAATCACAGCATTCAGGAGGATAAGGCAATAAGGTCACCATGAGTTCAGGGTATCTTACACTACATAGTGAGGCCTGATCTCTAAAAAGAAAAATTTAAAAAGGGCTATAGATGAAGCTCAGGGCAAAGGGCCCTGCTCTTACTCCCTAGCACCACAAAAACAAAACAAAAAAGTATTAAAAAAAAAAAAAAGTATTATATTTTCCTACATGTAGATTGTTGGTTCTCCCCAAGTGGACTGACATTTCAATTTTATTACTTCACTTAAAAAAAAAAAAAAATAGGAAGACCAGCCAGATAGCTCAGCGGATTAAAGCGCCTGCTTTGGCAGACACAGGGACTGAGATTCAATCCCTGGCACATCCCCAGAGTGCACTGAGACATTGAGACTGGGCGTGATGGTACACACCTGTAATCCCAGCCTTGGGGGGTTGAAAACAGGAGGGATAACTATGAGTGAGATCTGTGTAGTGAGACCCTGGAGATCCTGCACTAAATACATTTAAAAAAAAAAAGCCCAGGGCTGGTGAGATGGCTCAGCGGTCTAAAGCACCTACTTAGAACAAGCTTAGCAAAGCACAGGGACCACGGTTCAATCCCCCAGCGCCACATGCCAGCCAGCCCCGCCCCCTGGTGGGCTGAGCTGGTCTCTCACACACACAAATAAATAAATAAATAAAATTAAAAAAAAAAAAAGCCCAACTAGGGCTGGGGTGTAGCTCTGTGGTTGAGACCCTGGATTCAATCCCCATTGCCACCAAAGAAAAGAAATTATTAGAACATCTTTATGCCAGCTCCTTAAAGAGTAAGGCAGAAAGATTACAAATTTGAGGCCAGACCCAACAATTTAGAATCAAACTGTTAAAAAAAAAAAAAAAAAAAAAAAAAAAAAAAAAACAACTGGAGCTGAAAGCCCAATTTTAAAGGCCCTGGGTTCAATCTCTAGTATATTAAGAGAGTGAAGGCCTGGGGGTGTAGCTCAGTAATATAGCACTTGCCTGGCATTTGTAAGACCCTGAGTTTAATTTGCAGTACCACTGAAATAAAAGAAAAACTGTCTGCCTTGCACTGTGAAAAAATCTTTTATGATTTCATAACTTGAGACATTAGTTATTCAGAATATGTTGGTTACTGAATTACAGGCTTTCTAATGTCTGAACTTTTTACTGAATAATTAATACTTATTAATAAAACTACCAAACTTAAAAGGGCCAGTGAGGTAGCTCAGCAGACTAAGCACCTGTTTAGGTAAGCTCAGGGACCTGGATTCAATCCCCAGCACCACATAATGCACCAGTCCTGCCCCCAGGCGCACTGAGCCAGCCACGAGACCAAGTGTGGAGTTGCATACCTGTAATCCCAGAGCTGGGAAGGCTGAGACAGGAGGATCTATGTCTGAACTATGAGTTTCAGCTGCATAGTGAGACCCAAATACATAAAATAATAATGCCACTGAGTTCATCAGAAAAGTCTTCAAGTATTAGGAAACTGTTAACTTCACAGTAGCACGTACAAATTTTCCAAAATTCTAATTTTTACTTCAGGTTTCTGATTTTATAATTAATAACAAATACCATGCTGTCAAATGTGTTCTTTCTTTTCTTTTTATTTATTCATTTTTTTTGGAACCGGGGATTGAACTCAGGCCCTTGCGCTTGCCAGGGAAGCGCTTATTCTACTGAGCCATCTCCCCAGCCCAAATGTGTTCTTTCTTGAGGGCCAGGGAGATAGCTCAGTAGAATAGCGCAAGGTCCTGAGTTCAATCCCTGGTACTGCAAGCAAAAAAAAAAAAAAAAAAAAAATGTGTTCATTCATTTGTCCTGCCTTCCTTTTTTTCTTTTTTCTTTCTCTCTCTTCTCTTCTCTGTCTGTCTGTCTATCTGTCTCTTCTCTGTCTCTTCTCTTTCTGTCTGTCTCCTCTGTCTGTCTCTGTCTCTGTCTGTGTCTCTGTCTCTCTCTGTCTGTCTCTCTCTCGCTCTTGCTCTCGCTCTTGCTCTCGCTCTTGCTCTCGCTCTTGTGCTCTTGCTCTCGCTCCGCACCTCCTTAGGTTGGCGCAGGGACAGGGGTCCAGTTCCCAGCATGTGGTGCTGTCCCTGCCCCCAGGGCATGCTGAGAGCTGGCTGAGATTGGGCATGGTGGTATCTCACCACTTGGGAGGCTGAAAACAGGAGGATTATTACATGTCTGATTTGTGTAGTGAGACCCTGTAGACCCTGTGCTAAATACATTAAAAAGCTTCATTGATACATAATTCAGTGCTAAATTACCCACTTATAGTGTGAAATCAATTTTTTTTTATATTCACAGACTTATGCAGCCATTACTACAGTTTGTTGGTTTTTATTTCTCTCTTTTATGGTACTAGAGATTAAACCCAGGGCCTTCACACCTTCCTATTTTTATTTTTGAGACTGTCTCACTACATCATCAAGTTGCCCAGGTTGGGCTTAACCTTGTAATCGTCCTGTCTCAGCCTCCCAAGTACTGGGATTATAGGCATGCTCCATCCACCATGCCCAGTTTTATTTTGGTTTTGATTTGCGTTTTCCCAATGTTGATTTTGGGGAATACTGGGAGTCAAACTCAGGACCTTGCGCTTGCCAAGAAGTGCTGCACCTTTGCGCTGTAGCAATCTCCTCATGCACCCACCCCCATAGTTTTGTGGGGTTTTTTGGTGTTGTTTTTTTTTTTTTTTTTTTTTTTTTTTTTTTTTTTTTTTTTTTGCGGAACTGGGGATTGAACTGAGGCCCTGGCACTTGCCAGGCAAGCACTTATTCTACTGAGCCATCTCCCCAGCCCTTCACCCCCATAATTTTGAGTATGTTCTTTTTTGGCCATTTTAAAATCCTCTTTGAAAAAAAAACAAAAAAGGTATTAATTTCCTTGCTCTTTTTTGTCGTATATCGGGGGTTGTTGGGAATTCCATAAGGGGTTTTGTGTTCTATTGAGCTACGTTCCCAGACCTTTTTCCTTTTTTTTTTTTTTTTTTTTTTTGAGCAAAGGTCTTGCTAATTTATTCAGGTTGGTCTTGAATTATGATGTTCTTGTCCTGTCCCACTGAGGAACTGGCTTTACAGATGTGGTTGTCTAGATACTGAATGCTTATCAGATAAATGATTTGCAAATATTGCAAATTTGTGAGTTGTCTTTTTAGATTTTTGTTTTCTTTGTGTGACAGAGTTGCTATGTAGTTTAGGCTTACCTTGACGCAGTCCTCCTGCCTCAGTTTCTTAAGTCCTGGGATTATAGGTGTGTGCCACAATGCCTGACTCTTGTCTTTCTTTTTTTCATTATTTAGAAAATACTTATGCTGGTATGGTGGTGCATAATTCTGTGCACTTGCCAGGTAGGTGCTTATACCTCTGAGCTATCTCCTGTAGTCCTAGCACTCAGGATGCTCAGATGAGAGGATCCACGTGAGTTTGAGACCAGTTTGGGCTACGAGTGAATTCAAGGCCAGCCTGAATAGAATGAGACTCTGTCTCAAAAAAAACTTTAGTAGTTTCTGTAATGAAACTCAAATATATAAGACCTTACATATTTATACACTGTGTTACCCCTGTACAAGTGAAAAAAAAATTAAGTTTGACATTTCTAGGCTAATGTTGCTGTTAACTTCTATAGAATGGTAAACTGGGATACCTTTTCCAACGTTGACAGCACAGTTTACAAAGTATAAAAGATATTCAGTAATAGCAGTATGTTATGCATCGTTAGCAGCAACAGTTTTTCCAGGTTCTGCAGTCATCTGAACAAAATCATAAACATCCAGCTCACTCCATTAAAAAAAGAAGAAAAAATTACCCAGACCTATTTATTTATTTATTTATTTATTTTTATTAGTCAGGATCTCACATAATACAGGCTGGTTTTCAGCTCATATGTAGCCCAGGGTGGCCTCAAACTCATACTCTTGCTTCAGGCTCCAGAATGTTGGATTACTTTATAATGTCCTTTGATGCACAGAAGTTTTTCATTTTGTTGCAATCCAGTTTTGTTTCTCATACCTCTAATATCGTATCTAAAATATCATTGCCTAAGGGCTTGGGGGGATGGCTCAGTAGAATAAGTGCTTCCCTGGCAAGTGCAGGGGCCTGAGTTCAATTCCCAGTTCTGCCAAAAATTAAAATAAATAAAATATCATTTCCTAATCCATGGTCTTGAAGATTAATAACACCTTTGTTTTCTTTTAAGAATTTTGGAGACTGGGGAGATGGCTCAGTGGAATAAGCACTTCATTGGCAAGCGCAAGGGCCTGAGTTCAATCCCCAGTTCTGCAAAAATAAATAAATAAAACAAAAAGAAAAAAAAAAGTTTCTAGTGCTGTAACCGGCAAGATGCTGCGGAGTCTGCTGGCTCTCCGGCAGCTTTCTCAGAGGACCATCAGCACTGCTGCACGCAGGCATTTTGAAAATAAAGTTCCACAGAAACAGAAGCTTTTTCAGGAGGACAATGGAATTCCAGTGCATCTAAAGGGTGGGGTAGCTGATACCCTCTTGTATAGAGCCACTATGATTCTCACAGTGGGTGGAACGGTGTATGCCATATGCCAGCTGGCTATGGCATCGTTTCCCAAGAAGCCGGAATGATTTCAGGCAATTCAGTAATTAGTGGCTCAGTTCCAGTTGGCTCTCTGGATCAGTAATTTGATAAATAACTGAGCTTTTCGTTGGGGATCAATATTTATCGACTTGTACTAATTGTCACCAATAAAGCAGTCTTCATGAAAAAAAAAAAAAAAAAAAGAATTTTGGGGCTGGGGAGATAGCTCAGAGGTATAAGCACCTACCTGGCAAGTGCACCTCCCTAGCAAGTGCAGAGTCCCATTCAATCCCTGGTCCTGCATGCTATGTCAGAACTGGGCATGGTGGCGCATGCCTGTAATCCTAGCACTCAGAAGGTTGAGACAGGAGGATCACTGTGAGTTCAGGACCAGCCTGGGGGCTACAAAAGTGAGCACAAGGCCAACCTGAATTGCATAGTATGACCCTGTCTCAAAAAAACAAAAAACAAATAAGGGTATGCAAAAAAACCCAACAATTTTAAACAGGCATGAAGGTATACACCTAAAATTCCAGCACTTGGGAAACTGATGCAGGAGGATCACTGAAAGTTCAAGACCAGGCTGAGCTATAGAGTGTGACCCTGTCTCAACAAACAAAAATTTTATAACTTTAATGCTACATTTACATGTTGATATAGTTTTAGTTAGTGTCTGTATACAGTAGAGGTTTAGTGGTTCAAGTTTTTTTTTAACAGTAGCAAAGTTTATTTGAAAAAGTAAAGAGGAAGAGGGCCAGGGAGATAGCTCAAGTAGAGTAAGTGCTTGCCTGGCAAGCTCATGGTCCTGAGTTCAATCCCCAGTACCGCAAAGAGTAAGGGCGAAGCTGGCTCTGTGGAAAGAGTGTGGGCCAAATAAAAAAGGAAGGGCTGGTGAGATGGCTCAGTGGTCTAAAGCACCTACTTAGAACAAATTTAGCAAATCACAGGGACCGCGGTTCAATCCCCAGCACCACATGCCAGCCAGCCCTGCCCCCTGGTGGGCTGAGCTGGCCACACACACACACACACACACACATAAATAAATAAATAATTTTAAAAAAATTAAAAAATAAATAAAATAAAAAAAAAAACAAATAAAAAAGGAAAAAGTGGGCACAGCAGACTAAGGAGGACACAGGGCAGGCTGTCACATGGAAAGCCGCAATAGCCTAGTGGTTCAACTTACTTTCCTTGTGAATCCCAGCATCATTTGTTTAAAATTATTCTTCCATCCTAAAAAATAAAATAAAATAAAATTATTCTTCCCTCATTGAGTTGGTGAGTTGTAAAGTTAAATGACTATATAAAATTAGTTATTCTACAACATAAAGCCAGCTGTGAAATGTAGAGGGCATGTAGCTTTCCCAAAGGCCACTCTGATTCTGACACTGATTTACACACTCAAAGGAATTACAGAATCACTCTCAGGTGTGATAGTTCTTTAGCAAACTCACTGAAAGCTGTTACATTCATGGCTGCACTTTAATTACAAGGAACTGGTATAGGTAAAATCAGCTAAAGGAAAAACCTTGGCCTTCTAAAGGTTTTCCACTGGGAAACTTACCTTTTTTCATGAAGTCATGATGCTTTACTTTTCTGCCACTAGTATGTAACAATATGCAGTATTGCCATCCAGAAAAGTTCACATGAGCTCTACATGTCCAGAAGGTTTACTGGGTCATCATTATATAGGCATGATTACTTTGTTAGGTAGCCAGTGACTGAACTCAGTCTCCATGTTGACCAACACTGAGTTACCCCCAAGTCACTTCCTTTCCTTTTCCTTTTTCCTTTCCTTTCCTTTCCTTTCCTTTCCTTTCCTTTCCTTTCCTTTCCTTTCCTCCGTTCCTCCTTTCCTTTCTTGGTACTGTGAATTAGTAGGACCCAGAGCCTTCACACTGAACGATATCCCCAGCCAGCCCTTTTATTATTTTTTAAGCTTTTTTCCCAGTTTCACGGTAAATTTGTAAGAATGTTTGTTGAGACAGGGTTTCACTGTGTGAGTAGCCCCTGATGGCCTTGAACTCACAGCAGTCATCCTACCCCAGCCTCATGAGTGCTGGGATTACAGGTGTGTGTGACCATACCTAGCTTGGTTTTCTAACTTTTTATTTTGAGATGAAGGGGTCTTATTAAATCACCCAGGCTGGGTTAGCAAGATAGCTCAGTGGACTAAGTGCCTGCTTAAGCAAGCGCAGAGACCAGAGTTTGATCCCCAGGACCATGTGCCAGGCCAGCCCCACCCCTGGGTGCTCTGAGTAGGCCCACTACAAGTCCGAGCTACGTAGCGACACCTTGTACCAAATACATGAAAAATACATAGGTACATACATAAATTGCCCAGGCTGGGCTCAAACTTGGGGTCCTCCTGCCTCATCCTCCCTAGAGTGCCAGGGTGGCAGGTAAACACCGCCACACTGCCTTCAAATTTTTCTTTCTTCTTCTTCTTTTTTTTTTTTTTGTTTTGTTTTGTTTTTAGAAAGAAGGTCTCACTATGTAGTTCAGGCTGGCCTTGACCTTACAATCTAGTCCAGGCTGACTTTGAACAGTGCTCTTCCTGCATCACTTTCGTCAGTGCTGGGATTACAGGGGTGCACCACCATATGCGGTTCATATCCCCACTTTAAATCACATAGTTGGCCTTTATGACATAACTAGTGGTTTTTTTTTTTTTTTTTTTTTTTTTTTTGGTGGAACTAGAAATTGAACTCAGGCCCTTGCTCTTGCCAGGGAAGTGCTTATTCCACTGAGCCATCTCCCCAGCCCAATAACTAGCTATTTTTAGACTTTTGGGTGAGAAAGGACCAACTATAGTCTAATAACAAAAAAGTATTCCTGTCAGGTATGACACAGAATACCTTCTGGATATTTCTTTAGATATGACCATGTTTTTCATATCCTGAGACAAATAGCAATTTTCAGGGACAGAGATAAGAGAATAAGGTTTCTTTAGGAAAAAAATTTAAAAAGCAAAATACTGGTGACCTGCCAGTTGTATTAGAATTTTTATCAACTCTGAGCATTATTGTTCATCTTGCACACAAGGAACCTGAGACTAATAAATTGAATGACTTTTCTAAGTGCTGCTTGGATTCAGACTGTTTCTCTATCATAGACTATGTTTCTCTATTTCCCTAGCTCTGTCAGACACCAACTATCAGCACTGTACCAATGCACAACTGCAGGGGCCCTTTCCACATTTTCACATTGTATTCACACTGTGAATAGCTTTTCTTGGAATTGTAAAGTGAATCATATATTCTAGTGAAGGAATATATACCTTCTGAATAAAAGCAGTATGCTTGCTGCATCAATGTACTTTCCATGTAAGTTATTGGTCTTCTCTCTTGTATGTGAATTTTCATTGCCTCTTAGGACAGCAGGATAAAAGGGGCTTGAAAATACACTTCAGCCAAAAAAAAAAAAAAAAAAACAAGCATAAAAAGAGGCCAGGGAGATGGCTCAGTGGAATTAGCACTTTCCTGGCAAGTGCAAGGGCCTGAGTTCAATCCCTGGTTCCTCCCCGCCGCCAAAAAAAAAGAAAGAAAGAAAGAAAGAAAGAAAATACACTTCAGGTGACCTTTGTGTAATAAGCACCCTATTTTGATTGATTGATTGATTGATTGATTGATTGATGCTGGGACCTCATGCTTTGCCTGGCAGGTGCTGCACCACCGAGCTAAATCCTTAGTGCTCACCCTATGTGGTTGTTTTTACAGTGGTTTTTTTGTTTGTTTTTATCTTTTTGAGATAGGGTCTTGCTATGCAATTCATGCTGGACTTGATCTCACTTTGTAGCCCAGATGTACACCACCATTTCTTACTGATCACCCTCCTTTGAAAAATGAAACAGTAGTTGCCTCATCTGTTCTGGATTGATTTGAATGTTACTAAGATTCTTGCTTACTCTTTTCCTTCTCAGGCTGCTGTACAAGACAGACTGAATGAACAAGAGGGCGTACCAAGTGTTTTCAACCCACCTCCATCCCGACCCCTACAGGTTAATACAGCTGATCACAGGATCTACAGCTATGTTGTCTCAAGACCACAACCAAGGGTAAGTCATTTGTAAGCTGGCACTTCCTCTTTTTGTTTTATACACTCGTTCACTTAATTATAGAGATCTGTGTGACAGGAGTGAAAGAAAAGTCAGAGTGTAAACCTGTTAAGTAGAAATAGGCCCTTGGTAGATTTCTAGGGTATGCCATTTCCCCTTGGTGTCTTTTTCATCCCCGTCATACCCAGTATTAGGGATCAAACACAGGTGCACTATCACTGAGCAACATCCAGCCCTTTTTATTTTGTATTTTGAGACAGGATCTTGCTAAGTTGATCAGGGTGGCCTTGAATTTGTAGCCCTCCTTTCTTGGCCTCCTCGTAACAGATTAGAAATATATACCTCTGCACCTGGCCACTTTTGTCCTTTGTCCATTAATTGAATCATGTTTGTCATGCGATGTTTTGAGTATCTGGGTAGGTTAGTTTACAAATCTAAAATCTTTGTGACACACTTAGTAGATCTTCTGCTTGTATGTATGTATGTATTACATGGTCTCACTCCATAGATCAGACTTATATTGATCCTCCTGTTTTCAGGAAGATTAGAGGGGAGCGCCACCATGCCCAGTTTCAATCTCCAGCCCAGTGCGCCCTGGGGACAGGGCGGGGGCCAAGGCCAGCAGTGCTTGTGGTGCCACTGCTTATGGTGCCGGGGATCGAACCCCAGTCCCTGTGCTTTGCCTAAGCAGGTGCTTTAGTCTTCTGAACTATCTGACCAGCCCTGATCTCCTGCTTTTAAATTAGAATTTGTTGCATTGAGTTCTTTGTTGCTTCCGTTTACTTTTAGCTACTTTGGAAAGTACAGAGTCTTTTGGAGTCCTCTGTCACATCTTTGAATTTAGTTTTGAAAGGCTAGTAGCAAAGCAATAGAACATTTAAACTGAGCAGGTGTTTATGAGTGCTCCAAACAAAGTTTGGAGGATTACAATGAGTTTGAAGCCAGCGTGAACTATGTAGTAAGATCCTGTCTCAAAAAATGAAAGAAAACCTTCCACTTACTTGGTGTTTTATTGTTGGAGATTTAAGGACAAACTAACCAATAAAATGATGCACGCCTCTAATGCCAGCTACTTTGGAAGCTAAGGCTTCCAAATCTGTACACACCCTGGGCAAGTTAATATCTCAAAATAGCTGGAGGTGTATGTCTGTGGTAAAGTGTTTCTGAGTATAAGGGGCCAAGGAGATGGCTCAGTAGAATAAGTGCTTGCCTGGCAAGTGCAAGGGCCTGAGTTCAATCCCCGGTTCTGCCACCTCCCAAAAAAAAAGCTAAAAAAAAAAAAAGTGTTTCTGAGTTTAATACCCAGTATCCTCCTCACTAAGCTATTCTTCCCATGTTAAATTTAAATTTTAGGTCTCTGTATACTGATATAACTGTGAGGGGTGGCGTGTAACAGAGTCTTAACTATGTAGTTCAGACTGGCATTGAACTCACTATAGCCAAGGCTGGCCTCACACTCCCAGTGATCTTCCTGCCTCAGCCTCCCAAATGCTTGGATTATAAGTGTGTGCCACCATGCCTAGCCCAGCTGTCCATTTTAGACAAACATAAGAATCTCTGGAAAGAATTAAAAGAAATTGTCAATATAGCTGTTTAGGAGAAATAAAAGTGAACTGGTAATAGAGAAATGATTATCATGGGAATTACATAGAGGCAAGAACCACTATGCCCAGTTTGGTCCGTGCATAATAACCCCAAAGAACTTCTTAAGAGTTTCTCATTCTTACTTCTGAGCTTATGCTTACCTCTTATGTTTATATTTAGAATCTTTTTTTTTTTTTTTTTTTTTCATGTGTTTGGTACAGGGTCTCAGTATGCAGCTCAGACTTGCAGTGATCCTCCTGTTTTGTAATCCAGAGCAGGGATTACGGGTATGCGCCACCATACCCAGTGTCAATGGCCAGCTTGGCACGGGGTACTGGGGATCAAACCTGGGTCCTTGCGCTTGCCAGTGCCTGCCTGGCCTGTTTTGTCTTTTTGAAACGGGGTCTCACTATGCGGGTTAGACTGGCCTTGATCTCAATTTGAAGGCTGGCCTCAAACTCAAAATGATCCTCCCTGCCTCAGCCTCCCAGTGCTGGGGTTACAGGCGTGTGCCACCACGCCTGGCTATAGGCTGGCTTTAAACTCATTATGTACCCCAGGCTCGCCTTGAACTCACAGCAGTCTTCCTGGCTCTGCCTCCCAAGTACAAGCATTATACATTATGGCTATGTGTCACCACATCTGGCTACATTTAAACATTTAAAATTTTAAGAAAGGACTCCTTTTAACCTTAGAGCATTTATTTTTTTTTAATTTTATTTATTTATTTACATTTATTTAGTGTGTGTGTGTGTATGTGTGGCCAGCTCAGCCCACCAGGGGGTGGGACTGGCTGGCATGTGGTGCTGGGGGATTGAACCGCGGTCCCTGTGCTTTGCTGAGCTTGTTCCAAGTAGGTGCTTTAGACCACTGAGCCATCTCTCCAGCCCACCTTAGAGTATTTAGAATTCTGTTTACTTTCTTTTTTTTTTTTTTTTTTTTTTTTTTTTTTTTGTGTGTGTGTGTGTAATACTTGAGGTTTTAAAATGGAATTTAGTGGGCTGGGAGATAGCTCAGCAGCACAAGCACCTGCCTGGCAAGCACAGGGTCCCAAGTCCAGTCTGCATAATGTACCAAATACATTAAAAAATTTAAAAAAAAATTTTTTTTAGGGGCTGGAGAGATGGCTTAGTGGTCTAAAGCACCTACTAGGAACAAGCTTGGCAAAGCACAGGGACCGCGGTTCGATCCCCCAGCACCACATACCAGCCAGCTCCACCCCCTGGTGGGCTGAGCTGGCCACACACACACACACACACACACACACACACACACACAAAATAAATGTTAAAAGAAAAAAAAATTTAAAAAAAAATTTTTTTTAATCAAACGTTTCTTTTTACTTGACAGTTTTATAAAAGATTTGCTAGGGGCTGGGAAGATGGCTCAGTGGAGTAAGGGCTTTCCTGGCAAGTGCAAGGTCCTGAGTTCAACCCCTGGTACCACCAAAAAAAAAAAAAAAAGATTTGATTTTTCCATAGACCTTAGCAACCTCATGTGACTTTTTCTTAAAATGATTCAAGAATTTTAACCTTTTCAGTTAGAGGAATGCTGGATGATTTCTCTTTGCATATCTGAATTACCAGCATCCCTCATCTCTTCTGTGGGTGTTATTTAGTAAAGTAAGGGTTACTTGAGCACAGGCATGTAGTACTTGACAATCTGTGTGACTAGATGGCTTCTAAGTGACTACTGAGCAGGTAGCATTTACAGTAGGAGGGACAAAGGGATGATATACCTTCTGGGTTGGATGGAGCAGGACAGTGGAGGTTTCTTCACACTACTCTGAAAAACTTGTAGTTAAAAACTTAGGAATTTTTTTTGTCTTTTTTGAGATAGGGATTTGCTCTGCAGTCCAGGCTGTCATTAAACTCACTTTGTAGCCCAGGTTGTCCTCGAGCCCAGCAATCCTCCTGCCTCAGCCTCCTGAGTGCTGGGATTGCTGACATGTGCCACCACACTTGATCTTAAAATATACATTTATTTCTGAAATTTTCCATTTAATATTTTCAGATCTTGATTAAGAAAGCAAAACCACAGGTAAAGGGAGATACTAGCTGGGAATATTATGAAGTAGAAGAATATAGATATATAGAGAATATGTGACTCAGTAATTTTCTCTATGCCTGGTGTTTCGCCAGCTTTTGCAGAACCCAGCATCACTCATGAAGCTCTAGAGCTTCCTGACCATGACATAGAAAACAGTGGTTTGTAAACTATAGATCCCTATATGAATGCTAGCTGATCAGTGGTATTGTGTCTAAGATTCCCAGCTAGGTAGCAATTTCTCATTTTCATAATATCCTCTGGGCTGGGGGTGGGAGTATAAGGGATTGAATCCAAGGCCTTTTCAGTAAGCTACATCTCTAGACCGATCTTTCCTTCCTTCTTTCCCTCCCTCTTTCCCTTTTTCCTTCCTTCTTTTGAGACAAGGTTTTGCTAAATTTCCCAGGCTGGGCTTGAGCTGTAGTCCTGCCTCGGCCTCCTAAAGTGCTGAGATCACAGGCCGGCACTACCATAACTTGTCTCCTTATAATTTATATACATATGTTCAAGGTAGTAAAAATGGTTATTTTTCCTTCTATTTCTGTGTACCATATTAAGATGTATAGCTCTAAAAGAGAAAAAGTATTATTTGGAGAGGTAAATTTGCAGTTGAATTTTTAACAAATAGTATAATAATGAGCAGCAGAAAAAGCATTGGAGATTTGAGACAAAAATTATGTGAAGAAAAGCAATAATATTAGATGAAATGAGATTAAAGGCTTTTAAAATGACCAGTAAGAGAGAACTATATTATGGAGAAATCAATTAAATGAATGACCAAAAGAAGTATTAAAAGCTGACATTCATTTGGTAAAATATTAGGGATGGAGAGAATTATCACTAACTTTGTTTTTTGATATTTCAGGGGCTGCTCGGATGGGGATATTACTTGATAATGCTTCCATTCCGGTTTACCTATTATACAATACTTGATATATTTAGGTATGTACCTCTGTATTTATGTATTAAGAACCAAAGGTAGATTTTGAAGCTGCAACTTTGACCAGAATTAAGTTTCATGCTCATATTAATTATGACTTGGCCAATTTGTCATTAGATTGAATATTCTTTTTGGACTGTGTTCTGAAATATACAAATAATTCAAGTTATTTGAGCATATTAGGCAATATAAGATGGAATTGTTTTAAATTAGTCTTGCCTATTATTTGCAAGAATTAATTCTGCCTACATTTATTGGATACCCTCTTTCCTCCACCATGTTTGTCACCTTTACATTCCTAATTTCCACATGCTTTCTTTTCTAACCACCGTTGTCTAACTTCCTACTGCTTAGAAATTTTACCTAAACCACTTTTGCATCTGAGTATTCACAGCCCCAATAAATTCTCTTACTCTGTTTTCCATGTTGCCCTAGACTTTTCCCTCAGTAGGCGCGTCTCTGGACACCCTGTTACGTACAGTTCCCTCTGCCCTGGCAATCCCTATGTTGCTGACACTGGAATCCTTACAGATATGTACCCACGTACTTTATGCCTTCACTTTCTAGCTTCCTTCATGTATCATTCAAATAGCTTCTCATTGGAAGCTAAAGAGAGTGCAGGGCTAGGAAATGTTTAGCATAGCCTGACTTCGTCACAGATCAGGCTTGGGTTGTCTGGTTTAGAGCCACACTGAGGCTTTCTAGGGCAGTAAAATGTCAGTGGGCATCCAGGCCAGCAGATGGAGCTAAAGATGTGATCTGTGCCTTGAATTCAGCAGTCCGCACCTACCTCTAAATCCAAGGCAGCCTTTGCCCTCAAAGAAGTAAAGGCTGGAAATGAGAACCTAGCATTTGCAGAACTTGAAGGCCCAAATGATGCTTTTCACTGCCTCTTTATTGGCTTCCTTTAGTAAAGTTCTTAATAGCACCAGTTACTTGCTTAATACTCTTTCTATCCCTATTTTACTTAGAAATGGGTACATAAAAACCTCTAAAACATAATGAAGATTTAAAAAAACCAAAACATAATGAAGATTGAATTGATATCTCTTCCAGAATTATATTGTTGGGGCCAGGGAGATGGCTCAGTAGAATAAGCACTTGTCTGGCAAGTGCAAGGGCCTGAGTTCTATCCCCGGTTCCACCAAAAAAAACAAACAAACCAGAATTATATTGTCTTACGAATATGTTGTAGTGAGAAACAAATCAGTTGAAACCTTTAGCCATTCCTCAAAATTTGAAGCCTTTAGTCATTCCTAAAAAATTAAAGAGAGAATCCTAGAGAAAAAGTAGTCAAACTAACATGCTTGTGAAAGATTTCTAGCTATTCTCCCACATATAACTTATACATTTTTAACAATTTTGTTCTGCAGTATTTTTCATTGGATTTGGTTTAATTACACAGCAGAAATTTCAAGTATAACAGTATACACATGGGGAATTTGAGGGGTTAATAAACTGACTTAAGATTTTGTAAAGAAAATATCATAGTTTAGAGATCTTTTTGTGCTGAAAATTCTTCAAGGAAAGGACTAGTTTTTGCTTTCCTTGGAAAAAAATGCATGGCATGTATTACTAATTTTAATGCAGCTGTATCATTCAGGCAGTTTTTTTAATGTTATATATAGCAGATTCACCTTTGCCCCCTTGCCTACGGTGGACACCCAAAGCATAAAGAAATGATGCTATATAAATATGATAGAATGAACTCTTTAGGAATCGATGTTTAGCCTGGTGTGGTGGTGCATGTTCATCATTGCAGTACTCAGGGCTGAGCCATGAGGATTGCCATTAGTTCAAGCCAGCCTGACCTACATAGTAAGAGACGGGGGGGGTAGATGTTTGATACCATCAGGTGATGCTTCCCACTGTCATTACTCCAAATCTGCTAGTGTATCCTGGTTTCTTTTATAACTGCCTTCATGAATACCATAAATCCTAAATCATTAAGCTAAATTTATAAAGACCAAGTATATCATGACCACAAATTCAGGTTTGAGGTTTTATATCCATAATTTGAATAATTTCGGTAGTGTGAACTAAAAATTCAAAATTCTAGGAGAATAAAGAAGGAAAACGGAGGGGCGGAGAGGTTAGGCAGAGGTACAGGGAAGGAGGCATGTGGACAGCTAGAAAGATGTTTGTAGAGTAGCATTGGCCAGTAGAATATTACATGTTGATGGGAATGTTCATCTCTCCTTTCTCAGTCCTTCAAACACATAATTTGTTAGGCTAATGTTGGAACTTACAATCCTAGTAGTTTGCATTTGGGGGTGGGGCACCCAGGAATCAAACTCAGGACCTTGTGTTTGCCAGGCAAGCGCTGTGCCACTGAGCTTCATCCCCAGCCTGTAGTTTGCATTCTTTTTTTTTTTTTTTTTGGCAGAACTGGGGATTGAATGCAGGCCCTTGCACTTGCCAGGGAAGCGCTTATTCTACCGAGCCATCTCCCCGGCCCCATGCTTTCTTAAATAGGCAATGGAACAATACTCGTAGCTTTGTGGCTTTTGAGTCAGAATCTACTCTCAGGTTTGATGGTCCATTCACAGACCATTTACCTCCCTTTGCTGCTGTGCCATTGGTTCTGTCAAAGGAACCTATACAAACTGGCCCACTGCATATGCACTATAGTAAGCCGGATTTATGTGATATTTATTCCTTCTTCCCCAGGTTTGCTCTTCGTTTTATACGGCCTGACCCTCGCAGCCGGGTCACTGACCCCGTTGGGGACATTGTTTCATTTATGCACTCTTTTGAAGAGAAATATGGGAGGGCACACCCTGTCTTCTACCAGGGAACGTACAGCCAGGTCAGTGCCGCAAACTTTATAGATGCCAACTTACTGCTGTGATTCTGTTCTCAAAGGAAAGCATAGCCCAGCATGGATCATGTCATTCTTTTATTCAAAAACCTTAAGTAACTCTCACTACTATTGGGGGAGGGACTTTTAGCTGGGCTCTGCTTGGTCTAATCCTGCCTTTCGAGGTCCCTTCTGTGTAACTTATTTCCCTGTACCCAGAGTTCCAGCTAAGCCTTCCCTCAGCGCTGTACTTCCTATCTCTGTACCTTTGCTGTTGGTCTTCCCCTATCTTTGCTCTTCCCTCTACCTGGAATGTCTTTCTCACATTTTGGCTAATTGGAATCTTGCCCATCCTTCAACCAGATCATGTCAACTCCCTTTTCTATCCATTATGACTGTTACACCTTATCCTGCCCTACCTTGCAATCTAAAATATTTGGGTTTTTTTTTCTACTTTTTTTATAGCAACTTCACATACCTCCTTATAGTTGTGTTCATGTCTCATCTGCTTTAACAGCCTGTACATGTCTTGAAGGCAAAAGCCTAAATCTTTTCTGATCCCTTATAAAGTTGAGTAAGAATATAGACTGTTACATACTTTAGATGGCTTAGTCAACCTAAGCCATTAAAATCTTTGGCAATCACCTCTTGGGAGGAAAACAAATTTTTCTGGGTATTAGATATTTCTGATTTGCTACAGAAAAATAGAGAATTAGTATTGTGCACATTGGCAAAAAAAAAAGGGTGATTTTTATCCTGCAGCCTCTAGGACTCCTCTGAGTCTTTCTAGACAAAGAAAAATACTTATCCTTGTTTCTACTTTGGGTTTTCCCACATCTACTTTATCTCTCTGTCTTTTCCTTCATCTCAAAACCAATGTCTTCATTAGCTGCTGCTACCCTACTCAACAAACATATAAAGTACCTATTGCGTGGCATTAAGACATTTGTGCTCAGGCCAGGGGTATAGCTCAGCAGCACAGTGCCTACCTGGCAAGTGCAAAGTTCTGAGTTTGATTTACAGTACCAAAAAAAGACACTTGTGCTGGAGATACAGAGATGAGTAAGATAAGCACTTCTTGTGTACCCTCTGCCCTGATCTTGAGGGTGACTACCATTGGCCATTTAGGAAATGTTAAATATAAGATGGCTCAGGAGTATGCCCATGTAGCAAGACACACGAGTCTTGGACATTAGCTTTGTCTGTGGAGATCTTCTAAATCCTATGTTCCTTAGAATGCCTTTAGGTCCCATAGTCCTTTATTCCTGCTTGGTATGTGACTTCGAATCTAGCTCATCTTCACAGTTACTTATTTACAAGAAATTGTAGCTGTGAAGTGGCAGAGAATGTTCACCTTGGTTTTTATGTTGTCAGATTCTCCTGCCTTTGTCTTCTGTAGACTAGAAACACCTGGCATTACTGTGATTTATTGGGGACCTATGTGTATCAACTTGTTTGTTCTCATGTACCTGATACAGTTTAAATCCTAACAACTCTAAAAATATTTAATTCATTAAAGTTTGTTAGTATGAATTGTGTGTACTGAGAAAAATGTTAGGGGTCTGAAGGAATTTTCTGGTTTCTTGATCACCTTTTTTCTAATTCTCCTTTTGTTTCTGAATACATAACTGTATCTGTTAGGACCCTAGCCTAAGTAAAAGCTCAGGGTGCAGTCTTTTAGTAACTTATGATCTTCTGGTTTTCACAGGCACTTAATGACGCCAAGCGAGAGCTTCGCTTTCTTCTCGTTTATCTTCATGGAGACGACCACCAGGATTCAGATGAGTTTTGTCGGTAAGTTAATCGTATTTCTGTCTCTCCCTCTCCCTTTCTTTGAGATGGGGCCTCAGTATGCAGTTTAGCCTGGCCTTAAACTCATTTTGTAGCCCAGGCCGGCCTCAAGCTCACAAAGATCTTATCTTTGCCTCTAGAATGCTGGGATTATAAGCATGTGCTGCCAGGCCTGGCATTTCTTTCTCGTTTTTTGTTTTGTTTGTATGTGGTACAGGCTGGCCTTGAACTCACAGCAGTCTACCTGTCTCAGCCTCCTGAGTGCTGAGAGTACAGGTGTGCACCACCATGCCAAGACCTTTCTCTTTTCTACCTTTTCTGACATTTTAGAGTCAGCAGGTTGTTGATGTCCTTTTTATTCATTTCCTCAGCAATACACTCTGTGCACCTGAAGTTATTTCACTCATAAATACTAGGATGCTTTTCTGGGCGTGTTCTACAAACAAGCCTGAAGGATACAGGGGTAAGTTGTATGTGTTTTGCCTCATTGTCAGAAAGTCTTGGGGCTGGGGAGATGGCTCAGTAGAATAAGCACTCCTGGCAAGTGCAAGGGTCTGAGTTCAATCCCCGGTTCTGCCAAAAAAAAAAAGTCTTCGAGGGGTCTTTTTACATGACCATGACCATGTCTATAGTAGATACAATGCTAGTTATGATTTTTATTTAATTTTCTTAGCAGCCCTAAAAAATGAGGATGATATCACTTCTGTTTTCTGGTTTAAGAAACAGGCTCAGACAGTTTAAGCCACAGGCCTAAAATTACACAGCTAGCAAATTTTGGAGCAAGATTAGGTCTGACAAAAATAAACAAAAAATTAAAATAAATAGCGAAAAGAAAAAGCAATAAGAAAAGAAAAAAAAAAAAAAGAGTAGGTCTGACAGGCTTTAAGACTCATTCTGTTTAATTAAACATTGCCAAACTTTTATTTTTAAAAGAAATCTAGCAGCTTGCCTTTGATTTTAGTGGGCTTTTTGATGAAGAGTTCATTCTCATCAACAGTTTTAACAGAGCTGCTTGTTTGAGTACTCTTTTTTTTTTAAATTTTTTATTTATTTATTTTTGCGTGTGTGTGTGTGTGTGTGTGTGTGTGTGTGTGTGGCCAGCTCAGCCCACCAGGGGGCGGGTCTGGCCAGCATGTGGTGCTGGGGATCGAACCGCGGTCCCTGTGCTCTGCCAAGCTTGTTTCAAGTAGGTGCCTTAGACCACCGAGCCATCTCTCCAGCCCTTGTTTGAGTACTCTTGAATGCTGATACAAATTCAGATAACTCAGTTTGGATTGGGGAGATAGCTTAATGGCATAAGTGCCTGCCTCGCAGTGAAGGTCCCAGGTTTGATCCCCAGTACTACATACACACAAAAAGTTCAGTACTTTGCTGATAATAACTCTTAATGGGAGGTATGTATTTTTAGAGATCGTAAGAAGAATCAAAGATGTCCACTGAGGTTGTCCTTTTGCAGCTACTTGTGTCCAGCATCCTTAGAAGGTAGACACTGTGCATGATCTTGAGAACCAAAGATGCAGCAGATGTTTCCCCTGCGTACTGGATCAAAACTTTACACTTAATTGTTTGTTAAACATTTAAGATCCTACAGCATGCATATTGTCAGATAAGGTTTTTTGGTTTTTTTTTTTTAATTTTCTTTTTTTTTTTATGTGTGTGTGTGTGTGTGTGTGTGTGTGCCCAGCCCAGCCCACCAGGGGGCGGGGCTGGCCGGCATGTGGTGCTGGGGGACCGAACCGCGGTCCCTGTGCTCCGCTAAGCTTGTTCTAAGTAGGTGCCCTAGACCACTGAGCCATCCCACCAGCCCCAGATAAGGTTTTGAGGGTCTGGGGGGTGTGTTGAAAGAAAAAACTGAGAATACTTTTGGGGGCTTCTTTTTGAAATAGGCTTTCACTGTGCAGGTCAGTCTGGCCTTGAACTTGAACTCACTGTAGTCTAGGCTGGCCTAGTGCTGAGATTACAGGCATGTACCACCATACCCAGCCTTAATAATACTTTGTATAGAAATTTATAAAATTGGTTGCACACTATAAGGAATGACTTTCCTAGCTCCTTTGGAGCAGAAGCTATGCTTTTCAAGGAGAGAAAGATAGACATAGGAAAAATGTAAGGAAAGGGGACCAGGAAGATAGTTCAGCAGCTTATGTGCCTTCCTAGTAAGGGCAAGGTCCTGAGTTTGATCCCCAGGACAAAAAGGTGGGGGAGTGTAAGGAAAGGATTAGACAACAAGAAGAAAAGAGAAAAAAGTAATGGTGGAGCTCATTGCCTGCAGCACCAGGCTGAGACCTGTAAGTTGGTCTGTTTTTAGGCTTGACCCCTCACATGTAGGGAGAACTATGCTAAATAGTAGCCAGATTCTCTATAAATCCGTTTCCTGGCATTATGAAGACATGATATTTGAACTATACCCACCAAGAAAAGCCTGTCCTGTTCTAATTAAGCACTTCAGTTTAGGGACACAGATGTGTAATAAAGAGAAGATTAAGCCACTAGGACCTAAAAAGATAGACAGAAAAAAAGGGGGGTGCGGGTAGATGGCTCAGTAGAATAAGCACTTCCCTGGCAAGCACAAGGGCCTGAGTTCAATCCCCGGTTCCGCCAAAAAAAAAAGGCAGAAGATAAATGCCTTCCCTTCTTTCCCAGCTAAGATTAAAGCAGTTTTCTCTCTCTTTTGGATAGGCATCATACTAATCTCTGTGTCATCACAATTTTAATATAGGTGCTACTGAAGCAGGAACATCCTTTCTCCTGGGAAAATCTAAGGGTGACCTTTTTCATTCCAAGTCCTGCTCCTGATTTCTTGTCTTTTTGTCAGTTTCACAGGCTTTACGAGAGAATACCTATCCATTCCTGGCCATGATTATGCTGAAGGATCGGAGGATGACAGTGGTGGGACGGTTAGAAGGCCTCATTCAACCTGATGACCTCATCAACCAGCTGACATTTATTATGGATGCAAACCAGACATACCTGGTGTCAGAAAGACTAGAAAGGTATAAGGGAGTTCCTTTCTGAAGAGACCAGCTATGTATTTGGAAAGTTGACCTGAGGTTCCACAGACCCTGGTCTCTTCTATCTTAAGCAATGTTCAAAGCCTTTTCTACTACATATCCAAGATACTTAGTTGTTTTTTTTTTTTAATCATTCATTCATTTGTTTACTTATTTATTTATTTGGTATAGGGTTTCACTATGCAGCTTGGACTCATAGGGATCCTCCTGTCTTAGCCTCCCCAGCACTGGGATTACAGGCATGCACTACCACACCTGCTTTCAGTGGCTGGCATGGCATGGGGCCAGCACAGCATATGGTACTGGGGATAAAACCCAGGTCTTTTCATTTGCCAGGCAGGTGCTTAGACTGCTGAGCTATCTCCCCAGCCCACATATTTTGACCTAAATTATTATTGAATCATCCCCCCCTACCCCCTTGAAACAGGGTTTCACTATACAGTTCAGGCTGGCCTTGGACTCACTTTGTAGCCCAGGCTGGCCTTGAACTGGCAGCAACCCTTCTGCTTCATCATCCCAAGAGCTGAGATTACAGGAATGTGCCAACATGCCAACCGAATCTCTACTCTTAAGTGATGTAAATCAGAGAGGACTCTTATCCTCAAGAGTGACTGTTCTGTCATATATAGTAGCTAAAGTTCATATAAAGAACTGAAATATAGCAAAAAAAAAAAAAAAAAATTCCTTATGGGGGCCCAGCCCTAGCTCAGTTCTTTAAGTGGCTGCTTCCACAATGCTGGCAGCCTCAGTTTGCTGTAGTTCGATCCCCACAACACTCCAGCCATGCCAAAGTGCCCTGAAGGCATTCAAGGAGAAAAAAAAAAAAAAACAAATATAAAAAATATGTCAGGATTATAACTACAGATTATAACTTCCTTATGTGAATCATGTGCATTAATTACTGAAAATTTGAATAATAGAAGAGCATAAAGAAAAAATTAAAAATTACTCATAGTTGAGATTGAATTTAATACATGCTAGGCAGATGGTCTACTACTGAGCCACCTTACCAGCATTTGTTGGAGGACAGGGTCTCTCAGTTGCTCAGGCTGCCTTGATGATCCTCCTGTCATGGCCTCCCAAGTGACTGGGATTACAAGTGTCTTAGTTACTCTTCTCTCGTTGCTGGGACAAATACCCGACACTCAAAATGAAGGAAGGAAAGGTTTATTTAGCTCACAGTTAAATAAAGGTTTCAGTCCATACTCATCTGGGTCCAAGGCAGAGCAGCACAGAGCAGAAAGCAACCTTTCATGG